ATGATACTCTTTTTTTTATAACATATAGTTTATTTTATTTTATCTTATTATTTTCCACTATTGAGATGGAAAATAGTACTGGAGATCGGTGATCCACGTGAAAGACTTTGTGGGATTTACAGATGGCTTGTCAAGCCCTGCAACGTCAACCAGCATGGTTAACCATATTTAAGTACAACGAAAGCAAGTGCCTCGCCTCTCGACGTCCCAATCCGAACTGTGTCCATACACTAGGGACCAACCCATAGCAACCACCGACGTACCACCAGTTCATTTCACCATCACAGAGGATTCACGACACCGCACTCAAATGAAACATCGTAAAATAATATGTAACCTTTTGTAGACTCTATATCACTTACAACATGGGACATAGGAGTCGCCTATATAAATGACATCGAGGAGATTTAGTGCTAAAGGTAAAACTAGTAAACGCTATTTAAGTTAAGAAGTGTGTACCTATAATAAAGCGATTTTGCGTTGTATAATTTATTGATGTGAGGCCCCACTATTAGACCTTACTCGTTCAGGCGAGAAAATCAAAAACTTTTAGCCTTTTTGAGTTTTTGAAAACATTTCAAGTTCAATCACATACATACCGAAAGAAAAAAATATACGTATAAGGATATAATTAAAATATCACAATTCATAATAAATATAATATAATATTAAAACAGCTCATTGTTGTTAAAATATTTTGACATTTCGTGTGCAGACACTGGAGACTGGACACCAAAATTTGAGTATCAACTTGATTTCGATTACTGTCATTTATCTGTAATTTGTGTTATACATTTCTAATGCTCTGAACGAATCAATTTCTTAATTCAACAGCCAACGCAAGTATAGCTAAATAATACCTTCCTATCCGTTATGATTGGTCACAGTGACGCAGTGACTGACCACTCGACTATAGACAATAATAGTTATTCAAATTAGGTACGATAGGCAATAAGTATTGTAATATTATCATGTTTGTCACGTATATAATGAAAAGCCAATAACGGGAGCACTAGCTACCTGAAAGTTCTAACAGTGTAACAAAAATATTAAAATTGAGACTTCTCCAGACGCCCCTGAAGTGACGCCGCATCTATTTGTAGTTGTTATATTGTGTATACAGTATATACCCAACAACCCTAATATAATATATAATTACTATTATTATAGTAATTGGACAATTTCAAAGTCTACCTCACTTTGTTAGAATATATTTTTACTATTATTTCTGTGAAAATTACGATGGGGGGCAGCTTTTATTAATTTTGTCCTTAAATTAAATTTACGGTTACATCAATTTGTATTATCCAACACAGGTGAAGCCACAGCTACGAAAGGTAAAAATAATGGTTGTATTGCTTTGTGTAAGAATAATAATGATTTTGTAATTGTTTTCGATACAATTGTGTGGTGCGTCAACAAAAGCATTGTGTGGGAAAATATTGAAACGAGTGGTATTATAGATATTGCATTTAAAATAGTCAATTCTTAAGTTCTAAACGAGTTTCGACATTAGATCTATTAATGTACATTGATGTGAGATGGTTAAGAAGTGATACATTTTCAATTTCAATGATATTTCTGTAAATTTTCAAACAGTAAAATATATAGGTAAAAAATATTGTATTCTAAATAATATTCATATTATTGTTTACTATCAATAATAATAATCGCATTTCCTCACAAAATTATACCGTAGTTATTAATGTATTTTTTGTGTTGTTAAACTTCATTTAGAAAGCTATTTTCAAATTTTTCAGTGGATTGGTTCATGACTTTGTGGAACTTCATGTCCCTTATCCATAAAATTTTTTTTTTTAAGTAAATTCAAAAATCGCTAGATGATACATTTTCTTTTTTTTCTGGTATAAAATTTTGAAAATCTTTCAGTGTATATGTTTTAAAAATACTACAATTCTTATCAAAACAATTTTCTCTTTTAGATATAATAATTTAAATTTTAATCTGCTTCTAATTATTTATAGTCATTTAATAAGCGTGTTTTTTAAACATCATTCTTAAATTATAGTTATAATAAGCAATTAATTGATATCTTAAATATGATACATGGGAACATTTCGATTAACTTCTATTAACCAATACCTAATTTATTTATTTTATTTAGTTGAAAAGTCTGAATTGAGACTTTTTTAATTCCTATAGCTATATTATACATTAATTCAATGCATTTAAAATATAAATGTTTTAAAGTGAATATTATATTGTATAATATAATAATTAATAATCATTGTCAACATTATTACCTATTTTTTTTCTTTCCCCTAATTATTTCAAAAGCTTTGAGAGAATCATCTATTGTATTATGTAGTATGCTCATCACTCGAAAAGTATAAGCGGAATTGTAAATTACAATAGGAAATAATGTATGGTGATATTATACATAATTTTGAATTATTGAAGATAGTGATAATTAACTTGCTGAATGAAAAAAATGTCTATCTTACTTCGTATATTGTATAATGTCAATAAAATATATACAGAGCGTATCGCAATTTCATAAAACTTTTTAAAATCAATATAAAGTACTATAATCTCTACAATAAGACCTATCAACATTATAATACTACATCAGGTGAAGTGTTGCGGATGAATCCGCATTGATGGAGGATTATACCTGACCTTTAATATTTGAAACATCGAGTTAAGCGGCAATAGGTATGCATCAATTACGTACAATATTTTGATTGTTAATAATTTAGTGGCAATAAAATATGTTTAAAAAAAATCTCTGATATGTCGTGATGAACACAAAATGCTTGGTGGTCTATACATATATTTTTTAACTAATAATAAGTGAATTAAAATGTACGTATATGCATATATAAGCAGTAAGTAGTTGGACAAGTTGGACGTGACCGTACAAAATCTTTATTCTCGTCGAATTGTTTTCGTTTGAGTGCTCAACCATTGTATTGTGTTTAAACTAAAGACATCGCCAATATAGGCAATAATTGAAAACATCCAATCGCTATTATTGGAGGGGCAACGTTCGCTTAATTTGGACCGCAACGGCGTCTATCGGCGCGAAGTAGTTGATAAATGGGTGAGGGAATCGAATGTAAGCCTGCAAACAACACCACCGGAAATAAAACCGATTGAAATAATTGTTTACTATTTGATGAAACTCGGCGTGTTGGAATAGTCAAGATAAAAAAACTACAAGAGAACACAGCGTCCTTACAATACTCAAAAGTAGAGATAAATAAATAAAGAACTAAAAGAAAAGTTGTAAAAGTAAAAGCAACTTAATTTAACTACTGTACCAATGATGTAATTTCGAGAAAACTGAGTACGCAATTTTAACGATCAAACACTTCGAACAAGATTTACATAATCACTGCTATGCCGAGTAAGTACTGACTAATGACTATAATCCTCGACGAAAAATATAAATTTGTAAATGTTTAAATTAATGCTTCCATAATATTTTATACAACAAGTGTAATGTTAATAATAATTATATTATGTTTAAAACTGTCCTGATAATAATTCCTTATTAGTTTATATTAGGTACTATAACACTATATGATGCTCCAGGTCTAAGTTGTGTCTAAAAATTATATTTCATACACAATAATAATCATATATTTTTTTCTTACTTTTACCCACATAGGGAAGGGATATAGTATACAAACAGACAACAGTGAGGTTAAGATTATGATACATAACCATTTTTATTTGGTAAAGACCTACATATGGCTATATTTTATGCATATTTTTATGTATATGCTTTTTTTCGCAGAACGGGTATGTTAAATGAGTAGGTATAGGTAGGTACTATATGCTCTACTTATGAGTTTCAATTACTAATAATATTGATTTTTAATTTACGTTTAAGCTTTTGGTAAGTTCGTATATACCAATGTCTGAACGAGCTCAATACGTGTAATTTTTTTTTAGTTTTAAACTGAATCAATGAAAATTTTTTTTGTCTTCTTTTCTATATTCTTCCGTTGTTTATTTGAAATTCGAACTACGAAATTTCGATATTAACATTCGTTCGAACACTTTTTAACACTGCTTTCTTTTAATTTAAAGATAAAAAAATCCGATTTAACTTGTAGCGAAATTATATAAAATCTAAATGGTTTCCAATTGTTTATACCGACAAACATTTATAGCTGACTCAACACAGTCAATCGGACCGATAAAGCAGACGAATTGCGGCCATATCTCAGACCTACGGGCTACGGTACACGGAAATAATGAACTTGTTGTGACGCATAATAGGTATGTTATAAATATATAAATATATTACTCAATTTGAAATCAGCTTAATTGTGGTTAAAATTTTACAACTATTTGGTTGTTACAGGCTAATACGAGAGTCTCGTTGATTGCATTGAATTAGAAAACAATTATGTGAAAAAAGAAGTTTTCTAAGACTTTTTTTCAAATTCGAGTCTCAATACCACACTATATATTGAAATAAACCGCAAATCAATACTGTGAGGCATTGAGGTACAGTTAAAAATTCTTATAAATTATACTTTGAATAATACCAAGTAATTTGGGAATTTATTTCCTAGAATGTCGAAGTTTAAATAATCCTATAAAATGTTTTCAAAAAATACTTTTTTAGTAGAAAGTTGTCAGTACAACATAATATAATGTAATAAATTATCTGCGAATATTTAAATTAGAATATAATATTCATAATTTGACTGCCTATACCGATTATAATATATTTAAAATGCCGTTACAATTAATCAATAAATATCGAAAAAAAAAAAAAAATCAACTATTCAACTATTTCAACTATATTCAAGTATACAGATCAAAAAAATTGTGACTGTCTTCAAGTATCAGTCGAATTAAAATTTTTAGTATTCCTAATTTTAATATATTCTTACTTTATAGATCATGCATTTTTTGCAACTATGAACTACATGAAGTATTCTTTAAATGCTATTATTGGTTAACTACCCAAGTGACTAAGACTTAAATTAAATTTACCATAGCAATTAATACTTAGATACCATCTTGTTTCCGTCCACCTTCAACGTCTTGATATGTGCCAGATTCGGTTCCAATATTAGAATCTTCAGCAAACTGGACTACTATAATTGTACAGAGATAAATAAGAAATTATTAATTTCATAAAATTGACTATAAGTCTTACTAAAACATAAGTTTTTCAAAATCAAGAAGCGATAAAAGCTATAGGTGGGTATTTACCTTCATCACTGGCCATTTTTTTAGATTATAGAAAGACTTGACTTTGGTAAACTGAAACATTTAAAACGGTTTTAAAATGTTGAAAATAATATTATGTTACTATGCAATAAGATCAAACGTTTACTCTAACCTTACAACTCACCAAAATAATATTATAATAATATTACCTGTTTGAAAAGTTTCAACTCACACAGCTTCAAATTATGAAGTACGCAGTAAAACGATTTATAACCGCCTTTTATATGCTAAAAAAATAATAATTATTAACTATATAATAACAGATAAACTAATATTTGCTGATAATAACGGTTTTTTTTTACTATTTTGGATAATATGATCCTAATTAATAGGGTCATAAATAAAACGCGGATTTGTATGCATTTGCATATTTATTCTGGTCGATCGTATGATATGCTAAGTGAGCATAACATTTGTTTCATGATATAACAATTAAAAATTTAAAAAATGAAACTTTTTTAGGGCATATTTTTGCATATTTTGACATTATTCTATTTTAAGGGCTTATTTTACATTTTGAATATCATATTTCATTTTTTAGTGCATATTTCGATGTTTTTTTTGTTTTTTTAGACATTTTTGAAATATATTGTATTATATTATAAGCTAAATAAAGCTAAAATGATTGTCATTCAATGCAATTCCCATATAGGTAAGTAAATTTATTTTAGGACACATTTTTGATATAAATTGACTGCTATTTTTTTTTTATAGATTAAAACTATCTACAAAAAAATAAAAAAATTAAGAAAAGTAGATAAGTATTTATAGTTGGTACTATATACAGGGTGTTTCTGAAGTGTGTGAGGTAATTAGTATACGCATACTCACTGTGATGCCACAATGAAGATTTTTTTGGAATTTTTTTTCTAACTTCAAAATCTGGGTTTTTTAAATTTATTTTTAGAATATTATCTTGAATGTAAAAATAAACACTCTAGTCGTATTTTTTGCAAAATTCTCATACGAATCGAGATATTACATCATTTTTGCGCTTGTCGCGCGTTTTTCGCGCTCGAATCGCCAACTAAAAAAAAAGTCGTGCGACACATCGATTTGTATACTGCAAGATAATCAGTGGTGATAATTACTTGTTGTCATTGATAATACACGATTAATTAACACGTTGTTTTACATTGTCGACTAATAAAAAATATGAAATAATAACAAAATTAGGGTTAACAGAGTTTTAAACGATCAAATTTTACTAGCATACATTTGTGTCATACCTTTATTAAATAACTTTTAACTTTATAAAGTTATAATAGTTAGAGATAAAAAACCTACCTATTTGTGTGTTTATACTGAAATTCCAGTTTTTGGATATCATAGTACCTAACATAATTACTTTGACTCAATAAGATAAACATTTTATTCTCGATTCGTATGAGAATTTTGCAAAAAATACGACTAGAGTGTTTATTTTTACATTCAAGATAATATTCTAAAAATAAATTTAAAAAACCCAGATTTTGAAGTTAGAAAAAAAATTCCAAAAAAATCTTCATTGTGGCATCACAGTGAGTATGCGTATACTAATTACCTCACACACTTCAGAAACACCCTGTATAATGTATATAGTACCAACTATAAATACTTATCTAAATTTCTTAATTTTTTTATTTTTTTTGTAGATAGTTTTAATCTATAAAAAAAAAATTGCAGTCAATTTATATCAAAAATGTGTCCTAAAATAAATTTACTTACCTATATGGGAATTGCATTGAATGACAATCATTTTAGCTTTATTTAGCTTATAATATAATACAATATATTTCAAAAATGTCTAAAAAAACAAAAAAAACATCGAAATATGCACTAAAAAATGAAATATGATATTCAAAATGTAAAATAAGCCCTTAAAATAGAATAATGTCAAAATATGCAAAAATATGCCCTAAAAAAGTTTCATATTTTAAATTTTTAATTGTTATATCATGAAACAAATGTTATGCTCACTTAGCATATCATACGATCGACCAGAATAAATATGCAAATGCATACAAATCCGCGCTTTATTTATGACCATAGTCCATATTAATTAGGATCATATTATCCAAAATAGTAAAAACAAATACGTACCTTTATACTTCATTTATTGATTATTAGGAAAATCATTTATTTATTATTTTATTTTTGTAAATCTCTGCTGCAAAGGCAATATTTGAGGTGTATAATTTATGCACACATGCAAAATAGTTGCCTAACTGATTGTTCGCCGAGTATTGGGTGCATTATAGGTAACATGAAATGTTTCATATTATAGCCTATAGGTTAATAAATTTGTCAAGTACCGTTTCACTGGGAAATGTGAATGGTTTTAACAGTCATTTTTCAATACATTTATTCGTACACAAAATGCCGCATTAGGCTTTTAACAATTTAAATGAATATGCTTTGTATCAGTACATTATGCAAAGGTGTGTTTGTTACATATACATTTTGATATCTTTAAATGCACACATATTTAAGCTATAAACATGTGACACAATGTTTCAAATCCCTACGATATTTAATATTTTTCGATTAATAACAAAATAACTAAAGCCGTTAGAGGTGAAACCATATTTTAAATATAATTGAGCAATAATATAACAGATTGTTCAGTCTATTTTAAACTATCATTATTATATGTCCATGGTATTCGAATTACGTTTTGTTTTTTTTTAATACACTACACAACAACATTAAATTGTGGGTAATGAACCGTATTTAATAATACACCAAAATCCAAAAATCGAATAAAATCAAAATATGGTACAGGTTTTTTTGTTATTGATATCTATTTATTTATATTATATAATTGATAATTTTTGTTATCATTATTCACACAAAAGAAAAAAACGACAATGCAACAAATTCAAAATAAATTCGAACGTTCAACATTCATCAGTTTTTATTTTGTTTAGAGGTGGGTCAAACTACTGAAACTTCGAAATTCATTGTATACTCAAATTCAGACTTGAATTAATTTAGTACTAATTTCTACTGAATTTCAATCATTTTGAGATTTTGAACTTTAATCAGATAACGGCATAATTATAAAACCAAAATTCATTAGGAGAGGATCTAAGTATCTAACGCTGGAAATTTGGGATACAAAAATATTATTCTTGGGTTCTTACTGCTATTTATATTTTATAAAATATAGAACATAAGTATGAGTAAATTAAAAAATAATACCGATATGGAAATTGATTTTTCTCGAATTATTAAAAATAACGTGAGTTTAAAATATTCAATTTCAAATATTGATTTCCAACGAACTTTGAATTTTTCAAATTTCTCAGTGTCAGATTGTTCTATAAGCCAGGTCCCTAATTTTGATAGTTATATGATTTAATGTTGTAAATTATGTACAATAGGTATTATTGTACTGATAATACAGATATACTTATAATATAACTCTTAAAGTTATATGTCAGTTGTAAAATCTACAGTTAATGTATAATTAAAATTCGTTATTTAGTTTTTTTTTTTTGTTACTATTGTTTAATTCTCGGAATCGTACTATTGTAGGCCTTTTATTGTTGCTTGAAATATATAATTATTATATAGATAATTAATGTATTTTTAACAATTTTAAAACATTTTAAACAATTTATTAGTAAAATAAAGGTCAACGATTTATTGGCTGCAGTATTTACTTATTTTGTATATTTATTCGAATGCCTAAATGCGTATACTGTGTCAAATTATATCTCGTAAAATAATAATGATCTATTTTCTTTGTCGGTACAAGAATAGGTTTCTTGAAAACCCATTAGAGTAGCAAAAATAAAGTTGATATAAATATGTATATATTAAATCATTATACAAGTTACGGACGTGTGATCCTGTTTTAACAGACAACATATCAGATTTTAGAAATTTAACACAATTAAATTATGATTTATAGAACACAATATTAGTATTAATAGTACTGTAATAAGGGAATTAAAATTCAGTCATACAAGTATAGTTGCTGATTTATTAAACCTATTACGTATATATTATATATTTTAGATTCTGAGAGGAGATATGAATATATTGATTTTGTAATGATGTGTGTGTTTTTTTTTCTTGTGCCTGCCATCACGTATTGGGACAGTAAAACACAATATAAGTATTAAGTATTAACAGTATAGTAATATGGCAATTAAGATTAAGGCATATAAGTATAGCTGCTGATTTATTAAACCTATTACATACATATATATTTTAGATTCTGAGCGGAGATATGAATTTATTGATTTTACAATGATGTGTGTTTTTTTTCTTGTGCCTGTCATCACGTTTTGGGAAAGTAAAAGTGCTTTGATTATCTTCAACAGCATCCTTTTCGGTGGAAAAGTGAATTTAGTTTTTACTTTGGGGGTCAGAAGTAAAAATTCCCAATATTTTTCAAAAGCGGCAGGAAAAACAAACAAAAAATTATGGAATTTTAGTTATTGATGTACCTCTAAAATAATGTCGTCTATAAATAAAATTTTCATTGAGTGTTTATCCACGTTTTCTATAGGTACACCATACAATTTTCAAAATATTTTGACTTGTTTTAAACAATTTATAGGCATATTACATTTTCGATTATTATTTGTTTTTTTAAGTTAATGTCGTTAAAAATTTTTTCTCTCTATCACAGAACTTGAAAATGTAATACAAGGTTCCTCGTAATTAGTTGTCAGTGAAAATTAAAAAAAAAGTTGAGCGTAAATAAACAATTATTTTTTATAAGTGGTTGATTTTAAAATTTGCAAATTATTTTTAGTTAGAAATTCATAAAAGTTTTCTAGTCATATCTAAGGTTTAAAAATGCAATACAATATTTTTGATAAGCTTGTCTACTTTATCAAAAAAAAAATAATTACTAGAAGTCATATTACAATTTGATGAGTGTTTGAAGTTGAAATTTTTTCAACTTTCCAATGTTTATTTGGATATTCACGGCATTTCTCGTATAGTGATTTTCTAATTTTGTTGTAGTTCAAAAAAGAATAACTACAGATGCTTGAAATTTACACCAAATAATATATTTGAAATGCCGTTCCAATGAATGAATAAATAACGACAAAAAAAATCTCGCCAAGACACATTCCAGAAAGAAAATTATGTGAAGAATTTAGTATTATATTTCAAGCTTTTTGTACTAAAACTAAAATCTTTGTGAATGTTAATTAACTACAAAATAATTTCCAAATGTCCATGATTTTAACGGATTTAGTCAAATTTTGACTTTGAATGCCATACCAAAATTGTGAATATGGTTTATTTATGTACTTTAATTGTTATATGAACAACTTATGATAAACATTTTCAAGCTTTATGATTTGAAAAAAAAGGTAGGTAGTTAATTTAATTTGAAAAAAAATATCAAACGTCTATAATTCTAAAAGTACCAAAATATTTTAAAAATCATATAAAATGTTATTATAAATATATGATGAAATTTCGATTAGATGTAAATGTATGTATTATGATCAGGTAACTGACGAACTTACGCCTCAACGACAATAAAATAACAAATTTCTTTTTCTCGATTATTTTGAAAAGTACTGGTTGTTTTTACTCTTTTAACGTACTTACTATATTTAATTTGGAATAAAAAAAACCATCCTAAAATTTGATAATTAAAGTATTTTAATGCCTCAATGAGTGATGACAGACACATAAATACAATTTTTAATAACAATACATTTATTTTTTTTGCTCATAATCTGAATGAATGCGATATCTTGCTTTTATTTGTTTTTAGATTAATTATGCAATCATACAAGTTCCCTAGCTGATACCTATAAAAAGTTACTTTATTTTGTGGTGTGTAGAATTTTCTGAAAATTTCAAACTATTGCAAGTGAATAACATAATTTTACTTAGCAAAATATAGTCAAATAAAAGGTACATTAATCTACAGCTATATTGACTAGTGTATGCAGTAGATATATCATTATTATTTATAGTATTTTTTTTCACGCAAGTAAATGATGGCATTGTTTTTGTGTATTATTTAGTTTTTTTTCCACCAAATCAATTTGATTTTTTGATTAATTTAGAGATATGCCTAGTACTTACAGTTTTATCCCCAAATCTTTCGCCCGATTAAAATATAAGTAGGTACGATGATAAACAGTTTAAATTCTAATATTATGTAGTGCAAACAAGAATAAATTATTTAAATGTTTATATCGATCAGATTTCTTGTGTATTCGGGAAGTTTAACCAATAATTAATTCTCTCAGTACTTTTTAACTCCCCATTTATTCGTCGATCAACGATTTAACACATAATTTAGTATTATACATTTATACATACCACATACGTCATACATGATGTTCATGATTTCGGGTATTTTGAATTTTTTATATTACAATATATCGTAAGTAAAAATAAATAACAATAATATCAGCAAATAAATATTATATATTTTTTTTCTTTTTACAGAACTTATTTTTTCTCCTTCGAATCGTAGTACCAATAGGAAGAGTTTAGAATAAATGAGTTTCTTTGAGCTGCTAAATAGACTTGACCTGCATGTGTAGGCACAATATTACTATATCACTGGAAAGTGCCATTTGGTATATATGATTTATAAGTTTTTGAAATTCATAAGTGGTCACCTGCAGTCCAACTATCCATGTACTAGCTACACTTGATATGATTAAAGTTACTTTCATAATCAACCACTATAACCTTTATCCACGGCTGTTTTTGAAATCCAAAATAAAATACCTACCATATCGTTCATATTTTATTTGGTTTTTTTGACCTATCTAAGAGATTGTGTTAGCTAAACGTGAAATATTCTGATCTTTTAAAACATTTTTATAACGTTTTTCGGGGGTCACTTAACAAATTAAATGAAGCCAAGAAGCAATTCAAAGAATCTTGACAACATTAAAATAATACAAACTATATTAAGTGCTGAATTTATAGTTTATACTTTGGTCTTCAGAAACTTTTGACTTTATCGCAGCACTAAATTGGTTGATCATCATGATATTCTGTGAGTTACCTTAATGTATTTGTATTACTGAATATTTTATATTATAATCCGATGTTGCTATATGCAGCTAAGCCGAAGGATTAATTCACATAAATATTTATATCTAATCGTCCCTAGTGTGTTGGTATTATAATATGTATGAATGCATAACATTTTCAGAATGAATATTAAAACAGAAACTTTTAAACATTAGTTTATTCATTTTAAGGTTATTATCTGGATTTACTTTATGTTACCTATAGTAATTTATCTTTTCTGTTCTCAATAAATCTAAAAGGTCGTTTTTATTTATTTCTACAATTTATTTTCTTAACTCAATTTAAAATTTTTATGTTTAACTTATTTCTTTCATGATATCTATGCATCGTTACAGATTTTTTCCCAACTATACTTGACTGTCTTGCTGAGTAAATTAATTATTTACATGGTTTACTTTCTAGTATTGATTTGCCACTGTTAAAAGCTACAACTTTTGAAACATAGTAAAACTTTAGGTACGCAGGCACTGGTCATCGATCTTCAGTATTTTGAACTACAGTCTACAGTAGTAAAAATAAAACCAGATTTGTGTTCTAAAAATGTACCAATGAATAAATACCAACTACAGTGTAGGCTTGTAGAGACACTTGTTATTTTATTTATTCATAACGTTTATCATTTTAAAAAGATACGTTCACTAAATAGAGGTAAAAACAATACGAGGAAATCATTCATAAAATAAGACTTTATTAATTTAATTAATTGCTAGCAAAAATTTGACCAAGTATAATTAATAAAATATTAAAATATTATCTTACATTTTTATAATTATAATAAAAGTAAATATTAATATTTTGAGAGACGAGAGATGACAAAATATTTGACTTGCAAAATTATTACAAGAAAAAAAGTATAATTCAATTTTATTGATTATAAGAGACATATTTAGTAGCTACAGTAAATATTTTGTATTTTTTAGTTATACCTGAAAATTTCGAAGTATAAATGTACAATATATAATGAAGTTTATCGATTTTAGCCAAAAATGTTCTGTCATAATTTCAACGAAAGCCCAATAATAAATTCTACTTTATATTATAATATTATACTTTCGACCTCAGCCATAATTTCAATTAAAATAAATCTAAATTTAAACATTTTTAAGTTTTGAAAATCATTTAATCCCAATATAAACCGTTTTTCCATAGTGATATTAATTGGATTCGATAGGTGGTAAGACTTTTGTTGTAAACACTGTTTGGAAGAACTCAAACGATGGCTTTTTGGTACGGGGTCTATTTGGGTCGTTGAAGTCCACGCAATATATACCAAACATTTTCCTAAAAAAACAAAACATAATAAAGCAAGTGTAAAATACAAATGAAATAGTATTGTGATATGAGTAAAAGATTTACTTGAAATATCCACTTATCCATTCCAACGAATCCATGAATGACCAGACACAATACCCTTTAATAACAACACCTTTCTGTAACGCTTTGTGAAGTTCCGTCAAAATACCCTGTTAAATAATTAAAACATAATTCATTATCAAATAGGCAGTACATATAAACTGGCTAGTGGCTACCATTATTTGGGGATGTATATTGGTTATTTAGAATATAACTGTATATAATTGATATTTGTTTCGATAAAGTAGCTGCTGTATATTGTATAACTTACACGATGATATTTGATTTTTTTTTCACTTTCATCTACATTTGGTTTCTCGAAAATGCCGTTTTCAGTAACAAACAGTTTCGGATTGTCTAAGTTTTCCACAAGCCAATCAACCACCTGAGTGAATCCTTTGAAGGTCTAAAAATTTAAATTTAATTTTAATAATATAATGAACTGCACGGGACCGAATATTTTTATAATAATATTACATCCTCCATGTTTTCTGCATTCGGGATAGAGAATACTCCCAAATCTTTATTCAGTAAATATTTCTCATCCGCGTATTCATCTTCGGTCATTGGTCTCACCTTGTATGAATCATAATAATTGAAAGCAATAAAATCATATGACCCTGAAATAACCAATATGTATTTCAAATGTTGGTTTTAAAATATTCCAATCTCCAAAAATCCGTTATAACGTTAAATTATGTATTGAATTATTAAAATTAGTGGCTACTAGTAAAACATTTCAAACAATCAACCTTTGAAACATCAAAAAAAAATCTAAGAATAGTATATTATTAGTATATTTACTGATATTAATAGAATAATAAAAAATTGTATGAGTATTTTTTCGTAACATTATATCTTATATTCACTGTGTTTTAATAATATATACCTACAACGGACTCATCGAAGGAAAAAAATATGTATAGAATTAAGAGTAGTAATGATACTAAAAGTTGCATCATGCAACCAAATTGTAAGTATTGTGATAATATGTCTGATATGTGTAAAGTGCAACGATAACAATATCTGTTCGAAATTATTTTATATTACCTATGAGATCTTGTTTTTCGGTCTCGGTGAAATCAAAGATACGTTTTAAAGATATATTTTCGCATTCGTCTGTTTTAGCGATCGCTTCTAACATCGATTGCGGAAATGTGCCGTCTTTCAATGGTTGAGTGAATACTCCAAGCTGTAAACAAAATATTTTACTATTGTTAAATACTCAAATATATTTTATGCTTTCATATGTTTAATTTTTTGTACCGAAAAATTGTACGATTTTGACACACATAATTTATCCTCCTCTGAATCTGGATTTATCGGAAAATACGCCGCCGTGTCTAAGCACAAACTGATCTCACCTATATTGAAATTAATTATATTAATTGTGATTGTGTAGTTTTTTTTTATGTAATTTTAATTAATTGCATGTTTACATTAAACTGTTCAGATACAATATAATATTATTGGACATAAGAAGTACCACTCAATGCGTCAATTAATTTAAATCATGCACCACGGCAACAATCATAAACACACCGCGGTGAAAAAGATATTTTTACTAACCCTGCTGTTCTTCAAAGTACTTATTCTTGTACAGCTTGTAAACTGCTGCGTGGGCAAGCAATGCATTACGAATGGCCATGTAGTCGGCGATGCCGTTGAATATTTCGCCAACACTAGGTGCAATGTTCTCATTACCATAAGCAAGAGCTACGAATCTGGGTTCATTAATTGTAGTCCACAGTTTTACCTATATATTAATTTTTAGGTAATACAAAAATTACTCGTGCATACACAATGATGGCTGTTACTCACGTCTTTGCCAAACGTTCTGAAAAGGAAATTGGCGTAGTTTTCGAAATATCTAATAATGTTTGGGTTCGACCATCCACCAAGGTCCTGGAGAATGTTCGGTAGATCCCAGTGGTACATTGTTACCTGCAGGTGATTAAGTTTCAAAACACATTATTCCATGAAATAGTCAATTTGATAGATTAAAAATAATTCCAAATCAAAAATATATGAGAGTGAACTCAAGTTTAATTGATCGCAATTAATAGCTATCAAACAGTTAAATAAGTAAACGAATTGTATAGCTACCAGCCTAAATAAAATATATAATATTATACGTAATTCTACGTTATATTTTGTTCATTTACATCTCGAATCCCAGAACAATTATTTAATGATAATTGTGCACACTGTTATTAAGTAATTTAAAAAAAAAAAATTTCATGCAAATAATGTGTTATAGTTACCTACATAATATTTTTGAATTAGACCTATGATTTATTGTTGTTTTAATTTTTATTTTGGTAGAATATAATATTATCTTATTTAGTGAATAGGTATCATTATTTAAATAAAGTGTTCAAAATATAATAGCCAATGGTTTTATATTTTAATACTTTACCACTGGTGTAATATTGTTTTCCAACAGTTTTTGAATTAACGATTTGTAATAATTAATTCCAGCTTGATTTTCGACTCGGTCATCGGCATATGGCAAAACTCTTGGCCAACTTATGGAAAACCGGTAGGTATTAACCTGAAAAATATCATTTACATTATTTTAATTGTAGAAAAATAACTAAATCTTACCCAAAAATAATTATGTGTACAGAGAAATTCACTTTATACTTATATTATAAACTATTATTTAATGAATAGAAATATAATTGAAATATTTTAGCTAAACTCGTTAATATAATTTTAAAATTTTTGCATTCGTTAAAGAGTACGAACTATAAGAATATAAGTAAAGACATAGAAATTAGTATTTTTATATACACAAAAAAGTAACTTTTAAATACGTCATTTTAATAATAATAAAAAAGAAACATAAGTCATTGGTCTGGCTAAATCGAGGGTTTAACGTGTATAAAAATTAGTTCATGTTTTTAAAAAAAAATTCATAAAATTGTGAATTAGCTCGATGATTTTAATGTACTTACTCCAAGATCGCACAAGTTTTTAATATCTTCATCAAGCTTATTATACGAATCACAAGCAATATCTCCATCGACAAGTGAGAAACCACGAGATGGATCATTTTCGTGAATATCTGTGCCTCTGTGAAAACTACTATATTTCTTCTTGGGAGCCGAGTGGACAACTTTTGGATTGGCGACTACGATTTGTTTAGTGTGAAAATAATGATCCCAGATACTAGGAGTCTTGCCTGTAAGACAAAGTAATATACATTTATAAACTATAATATAGTCAACTCCACAAACAATATAATATAATAATAATAAGGGTGTTATTAATTTCAACAATCATGAAATAGTTTTATTCGATATAAGTTGTTCATTGAGAAATGCATGCTTATAATTATAGAAAAAAAAAAATCGAAAAACCGTAAGAGTTAAGTTAGGTAATCAAACTTCTCATTTAAATTGAGTTTTAAAATTGTAAAATAATAATATTGTAAAACGTACTTACTCAAGACTTAACCTGCAAATATATATTAGTCGAATTAAATGTATTAATAATCCTAATTTTAATGTATAATTACTTTTATAACATGCATGTTTTTGCATACTTTTGTTTAGTGTTTATGCTTATAACAAAGTAAATTTCTCCAGGATATTCCCTCGATTTTACTTAAATATTCGCATTAAAAAATTACATTTTTACAAAGGTATAATGTTATGATTGGCCCGAAGTTTATTTATGTTTCAATTATATATTATTTTTAAACTTATTTAGAAAATACATGTTAACAAGATACGAAACGTTGTAGGAGGTAAAAAATACATTTTAATTTACACAATTTTATAAATTATAGCACTAAAGTATTGTTAAATATTATGAAGTTTTTTTTTAACACCATTATTACCCAAGTGGCTTAGTCTTATATTAAGTTGTCTATAACAATTAATACTTACCATCTTGTTTCCATCCACCTTCAATTTGGTACGCACCAGATCCGGTTCCAAACAGAAAATGCTCAGGAAACTGGATTACTATAATTTTATAGAAGTAAATAAGAAATCATTAAAATTAACTATGAATTTGAAAAGACTTAAATTTTTCAAAATCAAGAAACTATTAAAACAATGGATGGGTACTTACCTTCCTCACTAGCCATTTTTTTTAGATTGTAGAAAGACTTAAATTTGGTAAACTAAAATATTTAAAATAATCATATGTTACTTAGAGTATATTAGTATATTTACAATATTACTGCTCGAGTAATATTAACATACTATGAGATCAAACATTTACTTTAACATTACAATGCACCAAATAATAATATAATTACCTGTTAGAAAATGGTCAACTCGCACAGCTTAAAATTATAAAGTACCTAGTTAAACGGTTTACAATCACCTTTTATATGATGAAAAAAAAATTATTATTAATTATATTATAACAGATAAGGTTATATGTGCTGATAATAATGGTTTTTTTTCGATAAACGAAATCAACTAATTATATTTTATTAATTTATGACCGTATTTAGGATCATATCCAAAACAATAAAATAAATGTGTATACTTAATTTATTGATAATTGGGGAAATCATTTATTTATTATTTTATTTTTGTAAATCTCTGCTGCAAAGGCATTAATTGAGGTTTATAATTTATTCACATTTGCACAATATAGTTGCTAACTGATTGTTTGCAGAATTTTAGGCATATGGGTAACAGAAAGTTTCATATTAGGTTAGTACATTTGTCAAGGCTCGTTTCACTGGGAAATATGAAAGGTTTTAACCATAATTTTTCATAAGTACTCATTTATGGATTTTTAACAGTAAATATGCTTATATACATAAATATGCTTTGTACCAGTACATTCATTATGCAAAAGCTTGTTAATTGTAACATAGATAAACATTTTGATATCTTTAAATGCACACATATTATACACATCCAGACAGTTATAATGCACACATATTGAGTTATAAACATGTGACAAAATGTTTCAAATCCCTATGATATTTTATCTTTGTCGAACTATAACAAAATAACTAAAACCGTTAGAGGAGAAATCGTTATTTTCCCTTTAAATTATAGGCATTCAATTTACTATGATAACATTTATTATAACTTGGCTAACAAATTTATTGTGTTTTACATAATCTCTTATTAATATTATTATAGATCACATTAAGGAACCTCAAAAATGTAGTACCTAGTTAAAGTTCAAAATCCTTTTCTGGTTTAACAAAATGTAGTATTTTTGCCAATTATCACGATATTCTAAATATTTGAACAATAATATTACAAATTGTTTAGTCTATTTTATACAATCATTGTTATGTATATGGCATTAGAATTAAATTATGTTTTGTTTTAATACACCATACAGCAATAGTCAAACTTCGAAATTCATCATACATTTTACTCGAAATTACACTTGAAAAAATTTGTACTAAATTCTACTGAAATTTGATCATTTTGAGCTTTTGAACTTTAATCAGATAACGGTATGGTTATAAAATCAAAATTAATTAGAGGAGGGGCTAACCCTGGAAATTTGGGATTTAAAAATATTATCCTGGCGTACTTACTGTTATTTATATTTTATAAAATATAGAGTATAAGTATATTATATTTATACAAGTAAAAATATCGAAATCGATTTTTCTCGAATTGTTCAAAATAACGTACGTTTGAAATATTTGATTTCAAATATTAATTTTCATCAAACTTTGAACTGTTCAAATTTCTCAACGTAAGATGTTCTAGTTTGATAAGTTCTACAACCAATCCCTAATTTTAATAGTTATATAATATATTATGAATTATATACAATTATTCTACCTATTGTTTTACTGATAGTATAGATATACTTATACAACACTTAAAGTTATATGTTGATGGTAAAATCTATAGTCAATCTATAATTCAAATTCAAATTCGTTATATATTTGTTTTTTTATTACAACTTTTTAATCATCGGAATCATACTAGAGTAGGCATTATATATTATTGCTTGAAATATATAAGTGTTATATTGATAATTATTGTATTTTTAAAAATTTTAGAAAATTTTAAACAATTTATTAGTAAAATAAGGGTCATCGATTTATTGGCACCATATACTAATTTTGTTATTTATTCGAATCGCTAAATGTATACTGTGTATAATCAAATTATATCTCGTAAAATAATAATGATATATTTGTTTTGTCGGCAAGGGAATAGGTTTCTTGAAAAAATCATTAGAGTAGCAAAAATAAAGTTGATATAAATATGTATACATTATATTATTATCCAAATGATTGGACGAGTGATCCAGTTTTAACCGACAACTAATCAAATTTTAGTAATGTAACACAATTAAACTATAAATTGTATGACACAATATAAGTATTAATATTATAGTAACATGGCAATTTAAATTAAGGCATTTAAGTATAGCTGCTAATGTATCAAACTTATTACATACATATATGTTTTCAATTTTGTATTGTTTATCATCAGCGATTTAGGGTTTGTCAATAAATAATTGAATTACTCTTAATGATAATGTTAAATTATTTTATTTTTATAAAATATAGTAGGTATTTCATTTATATAGGTAATTGTATTGACTGTCAGTATTTATAATAATAATAATAATATTGTTTATTACGGAATAGATAAATCCCAATTACATTCCAAATAAAGAAGAGAGTTACATGAGTAATTACGGGAAAGAGAAAAATATATATAATATATTATAATACGTGTTACAGGTAATTTTTTAGTATTTTTTGCTCGTGAAATAATTAGGATTTTATTAAAATGTATTATTTATTATTTTAGATTTTTCAAGATTATAAGAAGCAATACCCGGGATTCAGTCGTGAAGTTTTAAAACAAACTTATAATAAAATGGGATGATTAAAATACAATTTTATAGCAACTTCTATATAATTTGCCTAATTTACATAAATCTAGCTAGGTATTACAAATTACATTTTTTTTCAGGAAATTAAATTGTATTTGTTTTTTAAAGAAATTTTATTGTATTTTTAATATTTTATCAAATACATTTGAATAAATGTAAAAAATCTATTTTGCAAAATAAATAAAATTTTTCGTACTTTATTATTTTTCTTACAGACTTACGAAAAATGTTGTAAATATATTTTTTATGAGGAGTACTAAAATATATAATTAACCTTTTATTTAATTTTTTCCCTAAGTACTATAGTTTTTGAGTAAAATTAAAGAAACTAAACAACTACTACATTCTATGGCAAATTTTCAAATAGCGGGTACCTGACTAAAGAATATTTAAAAAAAATGTCCTCTTCTATAACTAAGAACCACCCTAATATACATATATAAATCACGATGCGTGTACATATTATAACGCATAATATAATGAATATTATGTAATGTATCATTAGAATTGATTTTCAGCATTGCCGAACTGTCTTAATAATTGTATTAATAACAAATCAAACTTCAATTGTAATTCTGGGACTGGTGATGAATTGTTTAATTATGAGCTCATAATAGTTTTACATAAATTGTAGTTTTTCAAACACATTATTATATACAAACAAGACGTTGGTAATAATTCCGTCCTTTGTTAATAAATTAATTAACTGATAAATTTGTTGTGATATGAGAATGGCCCACTCGCCCACTTATTGGTATCCTAATAATATTATATAACACTATATTATAATAGGTAAGTTACCACAGAGACCTTAAAAATTAATCAGTCAATGAATTAGCCACCTAAAAAATCAATCTACTCACAGTGAGTTACAAACCCATTACCCATACAATTCCATTATTATTTTTACAAATCTCATAAAGTGCACAACCTTTAAAATATAAATCTTATAATCTTCGACTATAATAAGAAAATATTGAAGAAACCTACAAAACTAAAATAATATTATAAAATCATAAAAACACGTGTGTTCTATCACTGGATAGTCTGCCCTATCATGCATAAGATGTATTATTGTTCATATTTTGTAGGTATGTAAATATTGAGTTTTAGCTGTACAAGCAAAAATTGTAAGTATTTTTTTATTAAAAAAAAATATACATATACATTTTGTGAGGCACATCCCTCTCAGATCTTTCTCTAAGATTTCTCTAGAAATTTTCCCCTCTCATATTAATTTGAAATGTTAATTAATGACAAACTGTTCGTTTGGTTTTTGATATTTGTATGTCAAATTTTATAAAAGTATTCTATATCAGATTATGTCAATAAAAATATAGGTTGCCATTAGAATCATAAATTGATAGTAATAGTTATAAGAACACAATAAGTGAAAAAATAAAATTGAAACACGTCTTAAATTATTTGAAATTGTGTATAAATTACATTGTTTTGAGCATGTATTATGTACAGGGCGATTCACCGAGCATGACACCCCTTTTTTCAATATTATTATTATAATAATTAATATTCATAATTCTGATTTTTGGAATTTTTAAATGCACTTAAACGTCATAATTCAAATTTTATTTTTTTCAACTGTAAATTATTCAGTGGACAATTTTTCTGCAAAATATGATGTAGCGAGGTATCAGATTCAAAATTCGTATACTGGTAGTTTTTGAGTAATTTAACTTTGTGTTCTAAGGATATAAGGTTCATGATACCTAATATGTTTAATGTTTATGAGATATGAGGGCTATGATGCTGTATGGTTTATGGTTATGTATATACGTTCATAACATATATATCATAACATGCATCTTGAATTTTTCAAAAAGAACAAACTCAAACAATTCTAAAAAAAAAACAATATTTTTTGAAATAATAAATGTTTACGGTTTAAATAATCATAATATAATACTGCATATTTATACATATATTCGATTTCCAATACAAATTGTACTAAATCATTATGAACAATATATTATTATAATTTAAAGGTACATATAGCTATAGACAGTTTAGTATATAATATATGATTATAGTAACGCTGTTATACAGTTGATCATTAAAACATAAAAGGACGCCGCATCCGAATGTGTCGTCTCCATTTTACAAACGTGCCACATAATGCATCCATAGAATTTTATTATCAGATATTAGATTATATAAGTGATGTGTGTTGTTTTTTTTTCCGAAGACTCTTTTTGTAGAAGAAAAAATGATCCAATTATCACTTCGAAGAAGGTTTCTGGAAGAAAATTGAATATATCTTGTTTTTGGGAGGTCAAAATAGTGGATTAAAAGTATAAATTACCCAGTACCATTAATATAATTGATTGGAAAATTACACTTAACAAATAAACTTCAATATTAATAGAAAACTTTTTTTTACTAGATTTAATTTG